CTTGTTCTCTCAAAAATATTACCAAACAAAGAATGATTAAAATTTAATCATTTCAGTGCCAACATTTCAAAGGGGCGTAATTGCTTTTGTAAACAATGGCTTTAGCTGTCGATTTCTCGCAACTGAAAGCTCACCTCTTCAAATTAACAATGCTAGATGGTAGAGGAAACATTCCCCTACTTGGTGATGTAAATAACTTTCATGAGTGAGCTTTTATTCATGAGAAATCGAAGGCTAACGCCATTGTTTACAAATGCAATTACGCCCCTTTGAAATGTTGGCACTGATTTTATGTTGAAGCAATCTATTGATTTGATTAAAAATTTTTCAAATTTATGCTAAGTCCGGATAACGGCAAAGAATTCGTTCAGTCTATATCGCTGATTTTTCTTTGAGATGTTTGAATTTTTTTTATAAATTATTCCTCTCGTTCCATAGGAGATCGACATCTTGCTGGAAGCTTTATAATCGGTAGTTACATAAGTAAATATCGGTTACATAAGAACATCTCGGTTTAGAAAAAAATGGTAATGGAATAATTCAGATCTCCGCCTTCGCGTTGGAGCATCAGTATAATCGCAGTGCATTATGCCGTTGATGAATCTGAATCCATTCATCCGGTAGCACCACAGTTTACTTCTTCTGCATATTGAACCTCAAGCTACTGATGAGATCAATACTTGTAACTAGTACGGGGGAAATGAGAAGAACGGATCGAGAGACCGTTATGTCCACTTGTGGGACATTAGCGCTGAAAACCACGTGAGACTGCGGTGAGACGAGGTGAGATAAAAATAGAACTCTTTTGACGCCGATTTCATAACACCTAGCCCATCCTCTACAGGTATATTCATTGACATTCTCAAAATGAGTTTGATTGCATGGTATACCAGAAGTTCTAGACAGCTGCAAAGCTAACAGTGCACCACAAAGCCACAGACAAACAGACATAACACTCACTATCACATTCATCGCAAATAATGTTTTAGTTGGGAATGTGCTTGCACTTGTCATGGTGGCGCCACTGAAGCATTGAGCAAGCCACCACATTTCAAACTTATCAGTGATGCCAGTTCTTTTTCACGTCTAGTTAGAAGATGTCAGCTCTTGAAAATGATGAGTGGTCAAGGCATCCCACTGGAGACACATACCACATCTGACGAATACAGAAAAAAAAGTTGTTGAATATTACATCAAAACTGCTGCACATTAGTCATTCCATTCCCAATATTACGTTGTACGATGTACACAGAATTCGAGAACACATCATGTTGATGACTGTAATATTCAATCAACTTTTATCAGTTATTGATGTTCAATACTTCACCATGAATATCATTGATTGATGCGTATTTTTTTTTCTTCTGATGAGCGGTGGTAGAAAGGGCACTAATAAGTGATGCATCGCGTTTATAAACTTGTTTCCAGCAAAAGAAAAAGCACACTAAGCAAACAAAACAAATCCCTAAACAAAAGTCTTAAATTCTGTGAATTTTTCCTACGGATCCGTATTTCTGCAGGATTCAATCAATTCTATAGATCTTCGGAAAATTTCGTAGAACCGATATCACTGACTTCCATCTATTTTGTTTTTATTCAACACAGCTGACGCGTTGACAGAACGAAAGAAAAGCAACTAGTGAAAAAATTGCATGAACGAGGGATGCTCTGGTTGCAAAACAATGCTTGGGAATGTGGATGATAGATGGTGCTAGTGCACTGAAAAAAAGTTGTTGAATATTACATCCAAATAGCTGCACAGAGGTCATTCCGCTGGTTGTATAATATTACGTTGTACGATGTACATCGATTTTGCGAACAAAATTACATCTATTGATGTAATATTGTATCTGTTTTTTTGCTATTACATCATTATTTCATACATCAGCTTGAATTACGTTAGTCGATATTACATTTGTTTTGCTGTGTGCGCATGCAAAATACGCTTGACGATATTTTTTGAAGAAATTTCTTCTAGGAGTTATGTCTGTTTGTCTGTGACAAAGCTCTGAAAAGGAATTGTCTTTTTATGTTGATTCAGTGGATGTTCTTACAGGTCATTTCGTTTGCAGATGTAATCCTGGTGTATGAAACCTTTTTTCAGGACACGCTGGCTCATTCGGGACAGAAGTCGTACAAGTATGAAATCTGTGAAAAATGCTTAAGGCTTTTGACTTTAGGACCCACTCGAACGAACGTCCCTTGCTTACACAATTTTCTAAAGCTTTTCAACGAGAAGAATAATCTAACAACCCACATGCGAACTAATTCACTCGTCTGCAAGGTCTATCGAACGTAGTTTCATCAGGACTGGCCAAACACGTCCAGATTTACTGGACAGATCAGAAGTTCAACACCTGTACTGGCTGTATCAAAGTCTTCATGAATGTGGCCGATATGGGAGATCACGTAAAGCAGCACAATAATAACAAGTTAGATCTGCCAGAAAACGTTCACCAAATCGAATAACCTGAAAACCCACATGAAGACGCACATATTCCAGGATTCGTTTTAATATTTGAGTTCGCGTTCATTTCCAAACGAGGAAGAAGCCAGCCGTCACTCGTTGGTAAATTCATCACCGAAGCCGTTTAATTGTTCATACTACGGAAAACAAATTTACAGGTTACATTCACCGTTTGTGGCCACTATCTGGAGTTCAATTCGATGGCGTTTCGTGACCTTGTGTGGGATCTGGATCATAACCATGACTGCTCTGTGGATATTCCGCGTCGGTCCATACACTTTGCTATAGGATAGCCATTCCCCGATGGACTAAAAAATCAATATTCTTTGAAATGAATCCTGCTCCTGCTGGTTGATCAAGAACATTCACAGGATGTACTTTGCTCGTTTTTGTAGAGTAGTTATTTCACCCTTTCAAATGTTCAAATCGCTTCCAGTAGCTTTTCAAAATTTGCCTTGCCTTTGTCGTTCTTATCTCGAACCAACAGCTTCACCGAGGGAATGTCCTCCTCACCGCCCTCCTCGATCTTCTTCTTGCTGGTCAGGAATAAGATGGACTTTTCACACAACACCGTAATCGTATCGGTCAGCTCGTATCCTAGCAGCCAGGCCAAAACATTCCATCTGTCAGAAATACCGGGTTGCCAAATATACCATAATATTCGTATTCTACAAAAAAAAAAAACGCAGCTTGGTCTATGACCGGAACACACCTCCGGCACACTTGACACTGAGAAAAACGTTGATCCAAGATTGGTGTGCGGAGTGACCTACCCCTTGTAACATTACCTATATCTCGAAATCCTGATTATCTGCAAAGGTGCTATCTTCAGCAAAGTTTTTCTGAAGATCAAGGTCGTTCGGATGGTTTCCGTAACACAGTCCCCCCTATTCTGCGAGTCACGTGACTCTCTCTCACCGGTGAAGTGACAATAGTCACCTCGTGTGAGGTGACTCTCCATTTGATTTACATGGAGAGTCACCTCACACGAGGTAACAATTGTCACCTCACCGGTGACAGAGAGTCACGTGACTCGCAGAATAAGGGGGAGTAGCTGAATACTGATACTGAGCACGTAATCCTACGTAAAATCTACGATCGTGTTTTGGATAAAATCTCTTACTTTTTTCATTGAGTCGACACCCTGAGTATAGTAAAATACCAAAACTGTAGATTCACGTTATCAACTTTAAGCAGTAATCTTCATTTGTCTTTTTAAGGAATTTATTTTTCATTTCATCATTGAGTCAACGCTCTACCCAAGCTCAGAATTATCTCACTTGCTTATTATGCTTCAAAGTAGACGTAATAATTAATTAAAAAATTAATTTCCAGATTAACGTTTGGTATTTGAAGCATTACTATGTTTGATGTTTCTGCTGGATGTGACGGAAATGGACGAACGAATTAATTCTCTTCCTTAGCTTCTGGATTATGGATCCATCAGTGTGGCAGAAAACTCGCGACATCTGACGAACGATAAACAAAATCATAAAGAAATCGTTCCCGAAAATTCTGTACATCCCCAAGCAGCACTCATCCAACTTCAACGCCCATTCCCCGAGGCCTCATCCCCCTGCAAGACCTACAATGATGGTGTGGTTTAATTTTCCAGCAAACAACAGAACAAACTCGTGTAATAACAATAACAAAAACAATAAGCTCAAAAGGACGAAAAAATCAAAGCCCAATGAATGGTAATTCCATCGAGTATGTCGCGAGATGTGTGCTTTTTGCTCCGTTTCCGGTCGTCGTCGTCGTCGTCGTCGATGAAAATTCAAATGAAACACGCATCGTCGATTGCGTTATAGGTTATTGAATAGTCATTAGAACGTGACTTCACGGTGATGAGGATGATGATGAGGATGGGAAAGACCAAATGCAACTGGTTTTGCGAAATTGGATCGGATCTATTTCGCGTGATTGGACCAGCGAACGAGATTGGAAGATTTGGCTCATCTGATGACGCGGCCAATTAAGGTCAATCAGCATTCGCACGAAATTGATCCTATTACTGTTGTGAGATAACGTCTGAGATGAAATGAATCCCACCAAGAAATGACGTGCTATCAGGTGAGGGGTGATAAAGCTCTAACATCACGAAAAACACGGCATGCAGTAGTGTGTAAGAAGTATCACACGGGAGATGAATTTCAAAGCGAGTTTTTCTCCCTGTCATACCAACAACAACAAAGCATAGGTTACAATTTTAACAGAAACAGTCTTCTGCACATGCAGCCAGATGGTCTCCAGAGTTTTACCTTGATATCACTAAGGGTTGCATATTTGTGTTCACCCTTTACACACACCGAAAAAAAGAGTACCAGACAGACAAAATAAAGTAGAGAAATACGATATACAATCATACACACAGTAGTGGTGGTACACCCGGGAGGTGCGGGGGAATATTTCTGCCCAAAACAGACTAGTTCTGTTCCGACTCGGTTTCCATTCAAAAAAAAAAACGACTATCATAGAGATATTGATGGACGACACTCGTCTCGGAGAGCGGATGGAGACAAAATTCAATTACCTTGATTGCATCCTGGATCGATTTCACCTGGACAGCCACCACCGACAGGACCTCGACCGAGATTCGGTTGAATTCGTCGAAACAGCCCCAGGCCCCGGTCTGCGAGAGGCCCTTGTAGATGTTACCGCAGGATTTGTAGTCCATCTGCTCCGAGCAGTTGAACACGTACACCATGATGCCGAGCGCGCGACCCAAATCCTTGGTGGTTTCGGTTTTCCCCGTTCCGGCTGGACCCGCCGGTGCACCACCCATGATAAGATGCAATGACTGTAAAAGGCAACAAGGCATTAACATTCTGCTAGCGTTTACAACGGGAAACATATATCTACCGACCTGCGTCAGTGTGATGTAGCATCGATCCGTCAGGGGAGTGATAACCAGCCGAGGAGTGTTTCCGAGGTATTCATAGTCGTAGCGAAACTCAGCATCGCAAATGTTAGCGTAGCAATCGTCCAAATTCGTATCCCAGCGATGCCTGAGCTGGCTCTGCCACTGGAACGCTTGTCCAGTTTCCACTTTCTGCTGTATCATCTTGGCCACCACGTCTCGCGAATGGACGTCAATCGTACAGATGGTCATAATTTTCTGGCGATCTCCTTGACTCAACTCTCCGCAAAGCAAAACGATCAAAGCATTCAGTTGGACGATCTGTTTCTTTTGGTAGTCCTTGAGTGCATTTTCGTAACCTTCTTCAAGCCTGGCGAAGGCCACGTTCACCTCCGTAGTCCACCAGATTTGCGTCGCACAAAGTGCCGGTTGAGCAGGCCAATCAAACACCCACTGATCTCTGGGTTTCTCTTCGTAAGCATTGACGGACTGTTCGAACAGGTCATGAAGCGTGATCCGCATACTGTCCGTCACTCGATTCAACCAAATCTCGACCTTGCCGCTGCAGTCACAATTCTCCTTGAACGCTACATACTCTTCGTTCTCCTTGGAAATCATTCCCACTGCCATCTTCTTGGAAGTCTTTGAGAACACCAATTTCGCCAACGAATCGTACAGCTTGGTCAAGTGCTTCGCCACCAGTTCCGGTTGGTTACCGTTCGACAAGATGTCCAGCAAATCCGCTGACGAAACGAAGTAGAACCTCGGATAAGCCAATCGCTTCGTCTCCAGATAATCATTCAAAGCCTTCTCACAGAGTACCAACTCCGAAAGCAGCCCCTCCAACTTCTCATACAATCCCTCCCGATTGGTTGCCTTCACAATATTCGAATTCGCTGCAACTTCGGTCAACAATCGCTTAAACTCCTTGTCAATTCCATCGAACCGCTTGGAATCATCCGGCAGCTGGCTGCGAATATCCTCCGAGCCAATGAATATACTCTCCAGGTACATCCACTTCCGCTGCACCTCGAACCACGCCGTAATGACCTGATCCGCGTTGGACAGTGCCAGCTGCCACTTGGAAACTTCCGCCAGGAAGAAGGCAATATATTTCGATGACATCAGATTCTGCAATTGCACCTGGTTCTCCTCCAGCATTTCGATAACTTCCTCGGAAACTTTGAGCAACTTGAGCGCGGTTCGCTCGTGCACCTCGTCCTCGAACGCCAAATCCCGCCAGGCCACCTCCAGGTCCCGCAGGATCTTCTCCATGCCCATCTCCTTGACCGATTTGTCGACGATTGTTTTCACTTCCTCCTCGTAGTTGTGCAGGTTCAGCTCCAGCAGATCGGCCAGGGTCGTGGAGTCGTCCATCCGGAAACGGACCTACGAGAAAGTAATAAATCAGTTAAGCAAGTTCCATAATTTGTAATTCTATCCGGGGCGGAAAAACAATGTGCAAGTTCATGGGAAAACCAAAGGGCAAAGCCGGTCTGTCTGGCCGTGGCCAGTGCCGGCTTCATCTAACCTACTGCAGGCAGTGGTCGGATTGGTGTAATGTAGTTTTAAATTATGTGTAACTATTCTACCAGTGCCCAGTATTAAGTAGTGCGAGAAAGAGCAAGAAGGCACACAAACCAACATTTCCCGTCCATAAGTTTTCAACAGCTTAATTGCAGCGTGTGTGTGTGTGTACGTGTGTGGCGGCGGCGGTGGCGGCATTGTTGGGGAGGAAAAATAGAGAGAAGGAAAAATGCTTACAGTATGAACGTGTTTACAGTATGTAAAACTTTGCGTTGTGATGCAGCGGACGAATTTACTCAGCACTTCTGTTCGGCGGTGTGTGTGCTTCTTTTGTATACAGTGTACCTACTGTCAGTTGTGGGCAAATTGCCTTTGGGAGAACTCGGGAAAAATTAAATTCTAAATAGTTGAACGGTTCGAGGGATTCGGAAGAGGAAAGTAAACTAAAACAAAACTGTGGCAGAAGTTCAAACGATGGAAGTGCATGTATATTTTTGGAATCGACTCGAAACAACGGGGAGTAATTTATCTTTTTGGGAAGTTGGACGGAAGAAACGAGGTACATGGAGCGTGTATGATGAAGTTTTGGAATGTTTATGGTAATTCGTTTCTAATCGAAGAAATCACTCACATTACTTGCATTGATGACATCATTGGCGTAGCTAGAAGCTTTTACTTGAGGAGGCCTGTTTAGTTTTTTAATTAAATAATTAGAATTCTGATAATTTACCTGTAAAGTTCTGCTAGTTAAATAATCTTGAACTAGTTTCGTAATATAGAGTGGAAAATTAAACTTCTTCAATTTAGCAATCAAACTTTCATGCCAAACACTGTTGAATGTTTTTTCTATGCCTAGAAGAGCAACTCAAGTTGAGCAGCCTTTAGATTTGTTTGAATTAGATTGGTAACTCTTAAGAGTTGATTAGTAGTTGAAGACCTATAGCAAAATCCAAAGTGCTCATCTTCAAAAATGTAGTTTGTATTGATGTGAACCACATGTGGCTACAAAATGGTGAGTTGACATCCTGGAAGGAGCGGAATACCTAGCCCTGGTCCTCACAAGTTCCTACTTCACACCTCCTCGAGTCATATGATAACAAAAGACTACCAGCTGAAACATGGACACAGCTGGGTGGCGTAGCCTGGGCAATGTTGCCAGTCCGGCAATAGCAAAGTGAAGAGGTGCGACGCGAACACTGGCGCGGTAACCATAGTACGGTGATAGAGGAAATGCTTCACCAAACCTGAGCGTCTGCTCACCATGGAGGTGCGGCTCAAAACGGCGTCTGTTCTCCATGTTAGGAGCGGCTGATCACCGTCCTAGTGCCAGCGTGGGACTCTAAACAGAGCTGTGCACGATGGTCCCCCGGCGAGACAGGGGGTTGGGGCAGGCCCAAAAAGCCGCCCTGGAAAAAAAAACAAAGTTTCAAATACCGAAGAAAAAAATACGGATCAGAACAATCGGCACAGACCTACGCGACGAAATAAGGACTACGATTGGAAACTCGGAACATGGAATTGCAAATCGCTCGGCTTCCCGGGTTGCGATAGGTTAATCTATGACGAACTTCAACCACGCAACTTCAAAGTCGTAGCACTGCAGGAACTTTGCTGGACGGAACAAAAGGTATGGAAAAGCGGGCATCGAGCGGCTACTTTCTACCAGAGATGTGGCACCACCAACGAGCTGGGAACCGGCTTTGTAGTGCTGGGTAAGATGCGCCAACGCGTGATTGGTTGGCAGCCGATCAACGCGAGGATGTGCAAGTTGAGGATTAAGGGCCGTTTCTTCAACTACATCATCATCAACGTGCACTGCCCACACGAAGGGAGACCCGACGACGAGAAAGAAGCGTTCTATGCGCAGCTGGAGCAGGTGTACGACGGCTGTTCGCAACGGGACGTCAAAATCGTCATCGGCGACATGAACGCTCAGGTAGAACGGGAGGCAATGTATAGACCGACAATCGGGCCAAACAGCCTGCATGCCGTATCGAACGACAACGGCCAACGATGCGTGAACTTTGCAGCCTCCCGGGGTATGGTAGTTCGAAGTACCTTTTTCCCCCGCAAGGATATCCACAAAGCCACCTGGAGATCCTGACCAACACACAGAAAACCAAATCGATCACGTTCTAATCGACGGGAAATTCTTCTCCGACATTATCAACGTCTGCACGTACCGCAGTGCGAACATAGATTCGGACCACTACCTAGTTGCAGTATGCATGTGCTCAAAACTCTCGACGGTGCATAACACACGTCGAAGTCGAACGCCACGACCCAACATTGAGCAACTACGGGACACCGGAGTTGCCCAGGACTACGCGCAGCAGCTGGAAGTTGCACTACCCACGGAAGAGCAGTTTGGCGCAGCTTCTCTTGAAGATGGCTGGAGGGACATCCGGTCAGCCATAGGTAGTACTGCTGCAGCGGTACTAGGCACTGCAATCCCGGACCGAAGAAATGACTGGTTTGACGACGAATGCAAACTGTTAGTAGAGGAGAAGAATGCTGCAACACCGCACGAGATTGAATGTGGAGAGATACAGACAAGCGCGGAACAGACAAAACTCGGTTTTCCGAAGGAAGAAGCGTCAGCAGGAAGACCGAGATCGCGAGGCGATGGAAAATCTGTACCGCGTAAAGGACACACGGAAGTTCTACGAGAAGCTAAATAGTGTGCCGCAAGCCGATATGTGCAAGGACTTGGACGGTAACCTTCTCACGAACGAGTGTGAGGTGATTGAGAGGTGGAAGCAGTACTATGACGAGCACCTCAACGGTGATGCAGCAGAAAACGAAGGTGGCACGGCAACAGACCTTGGAGCACGCGCAGAAGACGACAGGCTACCGGCCCCTGATCTTCAAGAAGTTGAGGAGGAGATCGGTCGGCTGAAGAACAACAAAGCAACTGGTGTAGATCAACTACCAAGTGAGCTATTGAAATACGGTGGTGAAGCACTGGCTAGAGCGCTGCACTGGGTAATTGCCAAGATTTGGGAGGAGGAGATATTACCGGAGGAGTGGATGGAAGGTGTCGTATGCCCAATCTACAAAAAGGGCGACAAGTTGGATTGCTGAAACTACCGCGCGATCACACTGCTGAGCGCCGCCTACAAGGTATTTACTCTCCCAAATTCTATGCCTCCGTCTGTCACCATATGCAAGAGAGTTCGTGGGGCAATACCAGGCGGGATTCATGGGTGCCCGCGCTACCACGGACCAAATTTTCGCGATTCGGCAGGTTCTGCAGAAATGCCGCGAATACAACGTGCCCACACATCATTTGTTCATCGATTTCAAATCCGCATACGACACAATCGATCGAGATCAGCTATGGCAGATTATGCACGAGTACGGATTTACGGATAAACTGATGCGATTGGTCAAGGCGACGATGGATCGAGTGATGTGCGTTGTTCGAGTATCGGGGACACTCTCGAGTCCCTTTGAATCTCGAAGGGGGTTACGGCAGGGTGATGGACTTTCGTGTCTGCTGTTCAACATCGCGTTAGAAGGTGTGATCAGAAGAGCTGGGATAGACACGAGTGGAACGATATTCAGGAAGTCCATCCAGCTCCTTGGTTTCGCCGATGACATTGATATTATGGCACGGAACTTTGAGATGATGGCGGAAACGTACATCAGACTGAAGACTGAAGCTAGACGGATTGGACTTGCCATCAACGCATCAAAGACAAAATATATGAAAGCAAGAGGTTCTAGGGAAGACAATGTTAGCCTCCCACCCCGAGTTCAGATAGACGGTGACGAAATCGAGGTGGTCGATGAGTTCGTGTATTTGGGCTCACTGGTGACCGCCGAAAATGATACCAGCAGAGAAATTCAAAGACGCATTATGGCAGGGAATCGTGCCTACTTTGGACTCCGGAGGACGCTCCGGTCGAATAAAATTCGCCGCCGCACGAAGTTGACTGTCTACAAGACGCTGATTAGAACGGTGGTCCTTTAAGGCCACGAGACCTGGACTATGCTCGTGGAGAACCAACGCGCCCTTGGTGTTTTCGAACGGAAGGTGTTGCGTACCATCTACGGTGGAGTGCAGATGGATGACGGAACGTGGAGGAGGCGAATGAACCACGAATTGCACCAGCTGCTGGGAGAACCATCCATCGTCCACATTGCAAAAATTGGGCGACTACGGTGGGCTGGGCACGTCGTAAGAATGCCGCACGACGACCCAGTGAAAATGGTTCTAGAAAGCGACCCAACAGGAACAAGAAGAAGAGGCGCGCAGCGGGCAAGGTGGATCGACCAAGTAGAAGATGACCTGCGGACCCTTCGCAGACTACGAGGCTGGCGAACTGTGGCCATGGATCGAGTAGAGTGGAGACGACTTCTTCGGACAGCAGAGGACAACAAGGCCTTAGCCTGATTGGTAAGGTAAGGTATGATGTGAACCATCATTCTATTCAAAATTATCTTTGCAAAAAAGTTTACTTATTGATGTTCTACAAAATTCCCTGAATTTTCCAAAACTCCCTGCACTAATTATTGACTTAAAGTTTTACGCAGCTCCTCAAAATGCTACAAAATTCACAAAACTTCTACAAAGTTTGCTGCCCATCTTTGTTGGTCGTTGATTTTCCGCGAAGTTCCACGTTCAAAATTTGTTGAACTTGTGCGTAATTCCCTGAACTATTCCAAGTCCATTTATGGTTTAAAAAATTGCCCTGCAATAGTATTAAAAGTCTCCGAACAATAATGAGGTTCCCTTAACTTATACGAAGATCCCCAAACGATTATTTCTTATTAAAAAGTTCTATGAGGTTCCCAGGATTTCTACAAAGTATCCTACAATATTCCCTGAACTTGAGAAATCCTTGAAGTTTTACGAAGTTCCCTGAAGTTAAAAAACTACAATGGACAGCCCTATGGGGTTGTACGCAATGGTGACGTAGGACTACGTGATCTTGATATATAATAAATTTTATTTGTTTTATAATAGCAAATAAAAAGGTTATCTTGCATTTAATTCCACTTAATTAATTTTGGTATCCATGACAGATAAGTATTTCAACTACAATGTGCAGTCAGTGTCATTCCCACTAAAGACTTATCAAAACCTTAAGGGGGTTACCCTTTAAGTACTCATCGCCTAGGTAAAAATGTCACGATCACAGGAATAAAAATGAAACTACAACGTGTAGAGTTGGAACCTACCAAACTAATAATAACCCAAGATTTAAGTAAAGGAGAAAAATCAATTCAAATCTCTAATAAGGAACGTTAACTGCAGCAGGAGCTTGTGGTTTGTGTAGGAATAGGCATTTGAGCGGGGTTCTCTCACCAACAAACCGACATGAATGACCTTACAGATTACCATGACATTTCCGGAGTGATTTGAGATTTGAGCGTAACTGCATTTGTAAACAAACACGTCAATCGCCGATTTATCGTGAATAAAAGCGCAATCTCGGAAACTAATAACACTATCACATAGAGGAATGATTTCTCTATCATTGGGTATAGTATGTTTACGAGATTGAGCTTTTTTTCGCGAGAAATTGGCGATTGACGTGTTTGTTTACAAAAGCAATTATGCCCAAAAACTTAAAATCACTCCGGATTTCTGATCAAATCACAAAACTGACATCTGGCGCCGTGTTCGCGAAAAATATGTATCCTAGCCACGAGCACGTGTACAAAATGTATGAGTTAGTTCGTGTCTAATCCATCGCGGACAAATTATTTTTATCTAGATAAAAGAATTCTATGGTTTTGACAGATGGGATTACTGCCTTTTTTCAATCGGCCGTTATGGATTATCGATCAAGAGTTAAGTTTAAGTTTCATGTCGGTTTGTCGGTGGTTCTCTCTGTTTATACTCTTTAGTATGACATAGATGGCCCACAGCGACTCACGAAGAGCTACTGATTCCGATCAATAGCGGTGCGGCTTCTTCCTACTTCTATGGATGCTCATGTAGGCTGCAGCTCTCTGCTTGCAGGCAGCCTTTCGTTGTGTGCTGGAGAACACCACTGCTCACCACGTGGTGATTGAATGAGCACCGTTTGGTGAGACCGGATGAAAATCAACTTTGAAATCTGTGTTAGAAAAATCGGTTTCGCAGGCAATCGATGATAATTTCAATTATCATAGCAACAGTTGCACATTCGTTCAATTTTCAGCAGTGCCTTAAATTAAACAGATGCGTAGAAATATTTCTGATCGATTGGTGATAAAATTATGGAAATTGGTAAATGGGAAGGTGAGTTGCTAACGTTTAAAATCTTTCATAATTTTGTTACATGTTCGATTTTTGGCTTTCACAAAGAGTACCCCCACATAGAAATCACAGACGTAGTTCTACGTCAAAAATACTGAGCCCTTGACTAATTTGCAGAGCCTGAATACGTCTTATTAGGCTATCGATTAAATATCGATATAATATAATTTCTTAAAAAAGTGTGGTCCAATTTTAAAAGTCGTTGTTAAAAAGTAGCCTCGAACCTGCGTGACGACATACCGTTGTACATAAAAAACACCCTAAATTATAAGAGGGTTTGGGCCTTGATAATTCTGGAGGGGGTCCAGCTACGCCAATGAATGAACATCCAATGAAAGTTTAATTCGTTCCACCTCACGCTCAGTCGGCAACTCACCTTGGTGGCATGCATCAGCTCGATCCAGTGCCGCTCCCGGATGGCCGGATTCTGCAGCTCCGTGATGGCCCGCAGCGACGTGAGCAGATTCTTCAACACCGCCTCCACGTTCAGATACGGGTTCCACGAGCGCATCTCCTTATCGAGCTGCCGGATCTGTTTGCCGTAGTTCTTGCACTCGAGTTCCATCGCTTCGACGTCGATCTTCTTCCACGGTGTCTTCTTCCAATCGTCCACGCAAGACTCCACCGCATAGACAAAATCCCAGATCTGCTTGACCATTCGGATCTCCTTCCGACACTGCCGGAGCTTGTTATCATCCGGAGGATTGAGCTCGAACAGTGCTGCCGAGTCGCACAGATTCTTCATCTGCGTCTCCATGATGTTCAGCTCCAGGTTGACCTGATTGCACATCTGGTACACATTTTTGCAGGGAACCTTGAAGAAGGCCAGCTTCTTGAAACCCTCCCTGTATAACTTGGAGCGGATGTCGAACAGCGTGATTCGTTTCTTGATCAGATCAACCTGGTAGGTCTGCGCCGGAGCAATCTTCTCGCGCACTTTCGAAGCCGTCTTCTTGATGTGTAACCATCGTTCCGGCAGTTCGGCGAATTGTTTGTAGACGATCTCGTCAAACTCTACGTTGTAACCCTTGAGGAGATCGACGGTCGCTTTCAGAGGTTCGAACATGTTGTCGTACATGTTTTCCCGCTCTTTCAGCTTGTTCAATGCAGATAGGATTTTCAACAGTGTGGGGAAGTCTTCTTCAGCGGCCTCGAGGACGAATATCTCGTCGCATTCGTTGGCGAATTCTTGCAGCTCTGCCAGACTGACGACGACCTTGTCAATTAGGTTCTTTTTGTAGAGGTTGGACCACTTGCATATTTCGGACAGCAGTGCCGTTTTGAAGTGGCGAAGATCGATGGACAGCCAGACATCGAAGCTGACGGAGATGTTCATGGTGGCGAAGACTTTATCGTACAGGTCGTAATAGCTATCGATTTGTGTCTTGAACTGATCCAGGGTGGGAGCGACTTCTCGGAGCGGTGTATCGGCCGACAGCAGCATCTCCATTTCATCGGCTGTCAGAGGTCGTCCGTATTTGAGGAACTGCTCCAAAACGCTGTGCTTATCATCCAACCAGAGATAATTGTAATCATCGAACCGTTGGGTGTACTCTTCGCCCTCCCGAATCGTTTGGATCACACGATTTATGATGGAATCCTTCATCTGTTCGATTTCGTGTTGGTTCTCCAAATGATCAAGATAGGTAGTCTCCGTTACTTCGCCATTTTCATCGGTTCGCTCGCTCTCCGGCGGTTGAGCTACCCTAGGAATGGTACTCATGCAGTAGATATCAGTCATCAGACCTTCAACCAATGCCAGGAATCCATTCGGATCAAAAGCATCCAACGTAGGTACGAAGCACGTTTTCGGCGGTATCAACTGATATTTAATTTCAAACAGCGGAGCATCATGGCTTAAGCGATTCTCCATCTCAAACTTAATGTACTTCACGCTGGTGTAAATTGATTCCATGATTTCCTTGGATACTATCGAATCTATGTACTCCTGATACGGCCGGTATAGAGCCAACTGGGAAGTGGTCCGATCCAGCTCGGAGTGCTCTAAGGAAGAAATTTCCTCCAGCGTATCGGTCTGCGAAGCTTCGCCTTCTTCGTCGACTTTTTCTTGGGACGGTTCTTGCTGAACCACAACTGACTCGTACGTTCCTTTCGTTTTGACTGACATCTCGGAGATCTTGACCTCGGATTCTACGAAGAAGTCAAAGTAGTAACGGAAGTTTTGTTCCATCGCTACGTCGATGACCTTTTTGGTGTCGAAGCAATCTTGGAGCCGTCGCTGTATTTTACCGGGACGATCTTCAATGTCTAGCAATAGATCCTTGCTGCCATCTTTACGCTGATACAGTGGCATCCGACCCCAACTTCTAATGCTGGCGAGAATTTTCTTAATGTTGTTCTGAGCCTTCAGAACCCGTGAATGGAGATTCTTCAGCTTTTCGTAGAAGTCTTCAATGAAGGCCGGATCGTAATTCACCCAATCAATGCTTCCCGAGCAGGCTTGTTCAACGATTTGGTCGATCTCGGCAATTTCCTTATAGATCAGCTCCCTCTCGCATGCTACGCAATTTTCCAAGATCTCGTTGTACCATTCGACAATTCGCATCAGCTTCATACGGGCTTGCTGTAATGATCAAACTTAATTTATTTCCTTTATTCGAGAATATCCACGTTGACACTATACCCAGAGGTTTTCTTCGAGTTCGGAAAACTGAACCGCTTTTTCCGGAATGTCGAACAGACCCATCCGTTTCATGTAGCGAATCTCCAGCAGGATCATCACCAGCACGTGGTTGAAGTTCATCTCCAGCAACTGGTTGTCCTTCCGAATAAGCAGAGCCTTGTTCATATGAGTGGTGATCTTTTTGGAGACTCCCGAGCTCCATTCCTTGAACAATTTGACTTCGAACGTCTCCAACAATTTCATCATCTCCTTGTAGTTGTTCATCACGATATCGGCGTCTTCGTCTTGAAACAGTCTGTGGGCATTGGAGGAAATGAATCTCGGAAAACTATACTAAAGTTCGCAGTACTTACGGAAACTCCACCATAGTTAGGTCGTTGATAGGTTTCGTGATGCGGTCGCGCAGCTTATGAACCCAAAGTATCGCTCCGGACACCGGTGGAAACCCTGTATCGATGGGAATTCCCTCCAGTCCGTGTTTCTCGTACGCTTCGCAACCGTCATCAAAGATTCGTTTCACAATGTTTAAGTCGTTGTTGTAGAGATGCACTATGTTGGCTATCTTCCGATGAATGTCCGGCAAAATCAGTGGCCTATTCAACAGCGTTCCAGCAATCGTAACCAACTTTATCAGCTGGTCAACGTTGAAACACTCATCGAACGCCAGGACAAACTGCGCAGCCAACTTCCTTTCCAGAACATCAGCCCTCTCTTGGTACCTGGTCCGATCCCGTTCGAAACTACTTTCGCTTGGATCCGGATCCAGCGGGTCGTACTGGATCACTCCCCAGCGAAGATACAGCTTGTTGAAGTCGTCAAAGACGTCCTGAATCTTCCGGCTGATCGCCCTGCCACGAAGCCCTCCTATTTCCACCTTCTCCAATTTTCGGAACTCCGTTGCGGTGAAAAAGATCTGCTTGACCTGATCCAGACGGGTTAGGAACAGATCCAAACGATCGAAGATCGTCTGAAGCCGGAACGTCCAGTAGCTTGGTTGGGTGCTCGGTTGACGGAAGTTCTCCAGTCGAGAACGGAAATCGTGGAAATGTTCCCTAAGGCAAAGATTGAAGCATGTCAATCAAAATAACCCACAGGTGCACCGAACTATTTTGACATACTTGTAGCAAACCAGAATATCAATGACGTTACCGATCTTCAACAGACACTCATCCGGTTCCCCTTGGAACAACGACCCTGGATCCAGACACTTGGACGCCTCGGCGATCATCATGTTGCTGATCATCTTGAACAGTACCATCATCCGGGCATTGCTTCCGTAGTAGAACGAATTGGCCCACATCAGACAGACGCAGTGCAACATCGGTGCAATCAGGTCCAAGGAATCGGTGAACTCGGTGCTCTCAAAGGTCTCAAAGTGTTTCCTCTGTCGGATCAAAAGCTTCCAATTATTAATGGAAATGCCTTAAAAAATATCTTACCAAAGGTTTCAAGTACAGCGTAATGTCGTCAGCTTCGTGCACAGCCTGGACCACGCTCTGGAAGGTACTCTTAAACGACGAATAGTACACGGAATCGATTCCTTCCAAGATGACCCCGATCTGGCGCACTCGGGGTTCCAGCAGTTGCGAGTAGATGTTCCTCAGATTGTCCCGTCGAGACTCCCAGAAGGTTATCTCCTCTAGCGGTGAAGGATTATGGCCATCCTTGAAGACAGTGGACGAGTCCTCCTTGAGAACGTCATTGATCTGGTATGCCCACTTGATGACGATGCCCTCCAGGGAGTTCTTCATCTTCAGTGAGCAGCCATCCAAGTTGCTTAAATTACAATCGAAGGAAGAAAAATATGTTACATTCACAGTAATCGATGCCAATTTGGTCATGAAAAGAACGCTCTCGGAAACACTTACCCTTCGGCAACCTGCTGCCCGACGCTCTCCACCTCTCCGATCGAAATGGGCATGGGCAAAAGTGTTTGATTAATGATGTTACCCTTCACCTGCGAGCAATAAAAATTATTAGTGGCTTCAATCGGGAGAAATTAGCATGTGAACAGCTGCCAGAAAATAGTTCGTGTGGAGGCCGTTCCGTTGCTGCTGTGTTATTTTTACGACTATGTCAGAGTCGCAGCCCCCTGCATCTTCTCGGGCACTAAAATCGAGTAGATTGTTTAATGTCTGTTTCTCACGAATCGAGCTGGCGTTCGTCACAAACGATGATAGTTGGAAAATTTGCACCCGCATAGAGCTTTCCCACACTATGCGGGTGTTCTTCTTTTCCCCGGACCACCCAACGAATCCCGGAATTCCCCCCCAATACCTCCGTAATGATGTTCCTCAGGTCCTGAAAGTGGCTGTCGACGTCCTTCTTGATTACATCCGGCCAGCCTTCCTGATTCCGCGGGTTGCTGATAATCGGGTAGAAAATCTCGTCCACTATCACGGCAAGGTCATCGATCGGGTTCGCTGACAGGTCACCGTACATGATTTGCTGCGGATGGAAGGAAGCAAAGACCAGGAAGGTGGTGAATATAAATTGATGCCGGACATGAAATTATTTGTTCACATGTTGGAGTTGGTCATTTTTTTCGCGTTGGCAGTAGAGGGGTGGCACGTTTCAAGGTTAGCCACTTACTCAAGATTGATGATTTTCTTGGCCTTTGGCCACTGTCACTGCGTCACGGACCTGATGAGCTTTTGATTGCTATTTTGCTGGAGGTAATTTTCTTTAACTGATGCGAAAATTATTGAAGTGAGAATTCGCTTTGAATAATGGCTATTGCCATGATGGATGTGTTGATTTAATAAACGAAGATTGTGATCCTGTGGATCGCACGTGCTCTCACGCGCGGTGAATTCAGAGACTATTCCGATATTTCCCGTTAAATCAGTTAATGAACGTTAGGTCTGTTCCCGTAGTTGCTTTTTTGCTGTAAGAAAAACATATGCTGCAGCGTACCGGGAACATACTTTTTCTTTTCGCTGTACATAATCTTACAGAAAAGAAAGTATGGATACAGATATGTTATGATTAATGTGATGTGAATAGATCTTTCAATTGGGGTGCTAGTGCTTAGAGCAAAAACAGAAAAATTATATCTGTCTCCACGGTTTGCTGGAAACAGTCCAACAGTAGTGGATGTTTGATAAACTTTACAAAAATCATGTTCAATCATTATTAGTTTATCTAGAAATTGCCCTATATTATAGATCAATAGTTGTATAGGGGAAGTGTACTAGTTATAGCACTAGTGCTTCTCTAATTTTCCATACGGCCTAAAACCTGCATATTTGCAATTTGCATAAAAATCGAAATTTCTTCCACAGGAAGCTAGTTTTAAAGCTCATTGTATGCTTGAGTTAAAAATTTGGAAGAAGTGATCTTGAACCTGATTTAGGCCATATGGCCAATTAGGGGATTACTAGTGCCACATCTGGTACACTTCCGCTATAAAGTCGTACTTAATATAGATAGATTGCTAAGTTCTTCGTTGATGGTTGATCCAATATTCAAAGGGAGAATGATTCGAACCCGTCTGTCATATGCAGAATGCATACATTTTGTATATGTTAGACGAACTCCGGGTCGTTTTCGGTCAATTTGAATCAAGTGCAATTTAAATTCATAATGTTTGAATCCGTTCCATTGGACCACGATCATTGTTGGATTTGGTGAGTTTGTTCCAGTTGAAGAACGTTTTTTATGCATTTGTTATCAGTGTGCTTGATTTCTTGATTTTGTGATTGGCCTTTGGCTAATCAGAGTGTGTTATTGGGATTGGTGATGAAGGTTCTGGCCAGGAGATAGTGATCATTATATGTAAGTATAGTTATACATATCCGATTATCGTGCAGCTTTAGAATTAACAGCACAACATTTGTGACACTGATGTTACAAAACTGCCATTGGATCTGTTGATTTAAATTATTTAAGTTTATCAGAAGTCCGGAGTGATTTGAGATTTGGGCGTAATTGCTTTTGTAAACAAACACGTCAATTGCTGATTTATCTTGAATAAAAGCTCAATCTCACAAACAAACTATACCAAATGATAGAGGAATCATTCCTCTACCTCATAGTGTTAAAACTTTTCGAGATTGAGCTTTTATTCGTGAGAAATCGGTGATTGATGTGTTTGTTTACAAATGCAATTACGCCGAAATCTCAAATCACTCCGGAAGTTTCCAGTAACAACAACAACAACTTATTCAAGTTTATTTTCAGCCAGGGATCGACAAAAAACTCAGATAGTGCAAAAACACTGGTGCTGCTCTCAAATACTGGAGCGCGTCCCATATATTTGGAAGGAGAAAGAGATAATAGAAAGAGAGAGTGATTTCATACCTAGGAGAGAGAGAAGTTGTACCAACCGGTGAACACTCGTGTTTATTTCAGTTACCATAGAGACGTAATTTGTGATTTGCCCCGGTCCCTTTCAAATTGTATCATTATTTATGAACGGCCTTATATTTGAAATGACGTTTCACATTCATCTAGTGATGTCCAATTTTCATTCGAATAATCGTTTAATCGATTAACGAACCTAAAAGTAAACTATGTATAATCGGTTAGATCATGCCGATATAAGCATTAACATCTCCACAGGATCATCACCGATCGTTTCAAACATGTGCTGCACTCTCATTGGTGGAAAAATGGCAGCACATCGAACAAAAAATAATCGATTAGTTGTTAATCGAGTAATTAAAAACTTGGACACCTCTGATTTTGGTGTGATTGTTTTGATAAAAATGAGTGCAAATATCATCTCTTCCGAGGGGGCAGCAAAACCACAAAATTACCTTGAATACGGGGGGTCCTCATTGAATGAAAGGGACCGTGAAATAAGACACTAAAATAGAAAGTTTTTCTTCCGACAGTTTTATCTTAGTATTCATCTTTAGTTGTACTGCACACACAGATAAAAATTCTGAATTTTAATTGTCATGTAAACATTCATTCACGTAGACTTGTATTTCATTTCACGCAACCGAGCAACTTGCAAACAATGTTGTTTACAAATATGGGCTTTTGTATACAATATTTGCTACCTTGCATGAAATGTGTCAGAACATTACATGACATATCATGTAAACGTATATGATATGTGACGCTCCATTTATGTGCATCGTATTGAACAGAAATTTACACTACTTTTTCGAGCTGTGCACGTGGTACTTGCGTTCAGCACAATCGAGTAGTGCACAGTGTTATGACGGGAGTAGCACTTTTCAATCGGAAGAGACGTGGCTTAGATATTTACAGGAAGGACTGTAAAATTTTAGACTGGGTGCATAATATTTTGTCACTCAGTGCAGTTGCAGTGACTGTATGGTGTTCAATAGCGTAGAAAAATACAAATTTGTATGCTTTTCCTACCACAGTTTTTTTGTAAGTTCGATGTGTAATTTGCTATGTTTTCCATACAAATGCGTTTATCTCCTTAATTGAGGCCTAAATCGCGATTTGAAGGGTGTTGAGGAGCCACTTTGTGAGGTCGTCGCTGATATAAAGAGCTCGGTGGCCTAGTGGTGACCGATTTTGCTCAATGAGCTGAAAATTATGCGTTCAATCTCAAAATCCTTCAGTGTGAATCAGATTTATTCTTAATATTAGATTTTTTTTCCTTGATTTGTTTTCCGTCGATGATCTTGTTTTCCGTGCTGAGCACCAATGCTACCGACGCCAAGGAGGCAGCTCCCACACCTGGACCCTACCTATCGACCCATCAACTCATGAACCGGGGACCAACGGCTTTACTTCCCTTCCGAAGGAAGGCGTGTTCAGAGATGTTATGCCTCAGAACATCCTGGCGGCGCCGACTGGGATTGAACCGAGGCCTTTTGGGGTGAGAGGTAATCACGCTTACCCAAGTCCCCGGCAAGGTGACAGATAATCTTAGTTTCACGTATCCACTTGCAAATAGTAGATGTCGTCACACAACGTAAACAAAGGGGCTGCCCTTCACCGCCGCAACGGTATTTCTCTATGGGAAGGCAACTTTTTGTTTCACCATGTGTGGATGTCAAACAACAAGCAAGAATGCCATGTAAAAAGAGCGATGTATGATTTTCGTGGTGAAATGAAATAAATCCAAACAAATTGAAACAGATTGATGGAAGTTTTTCTTATATAATCAAATGGAAATAAAAACACATTGGATAATTCTATTATATTTTGCTCTTGAATATTATCAGTCTTGAGAATAATGTTTCTGAGCATATTTGTGCGATGAAGACTTGCAATAAAAAGCCGTATCAATAAAAAGCGTTTACTTCCCCATCTTGCTATTGAGAGGTGATAAAAAAAATACAAAATTGATTCTTATTCGCGGTGAGTAGCAGGTTTGCTGTGTGAACACTAATATTTCGTATATCCATTTAAACATGAAGAAATAAATAAAATAGATAAAAATAAGCGTCTCTCAACAAAAGATATTCAAAACGAGCTTCTAAAACGAATAAATTTATTTTCCTTTATTTAACGTCGTTCTCTGTTCCGCAATCTTTGTGCCAATCACCGACGGACATCGATTGCCATCCATTGACGGCAATCGAATGTGCAGGAAGGCAGCTTCCACACCTGCGTAGGACATGGGCCGGGACCAACGGCTTTACTTCCCTTCCGAAGGAAGACGTGACCAGAGATTTTTATGCCTCAGAAAAATCCCACCGACCTCGGCTGGGATTAAACCCAGACCCATCGGGGTGTTAGAAAGCAGTCACGCTTACCACTACACCACCGGCGCTGGCTGAATAAATTTCAGTGATTGTCTTTTGTTACATCCGTCCGTTTCATTAACATTGTTCCCCACCAACTTGAAGTTTCAAGAAACAGATGAGGCTATCTGTTTTTATGTTCAGTATTTTATTTACTTTATTTACATATCTGCATTCGCCCTATTCAGATAACACTTCTGAAATTTGTGAGTTTGACAGAACCACCAGCACCAAATTTTCAGAGTACAGTGGAAATGTACTGGACTTGTCATGTTGCCCCCGGGTTGCGCTTACCACTACACCACCGGCGTCGCTTTTTTATATGAGATAAAGCGTATCGAAATTCGGTTGGAGGAATGAGTAGGAAAGATGTGTGGATTGGAAATCTATAACAAATCCTTCCCAAGAGTAGCTGTTATCGTAGTAACAGCAAGTTGAACAGGAACTTGGTAATTATTGTTTGTTAAATAAGGAGCCCGGTGGTCTTGTGGTGACCGATTTTGCTTACTGAGCCGAAAATCATGGGATCAGTCCCAAACTCCTTCACATTATGAAGTTATACTTTACATCGGCTTTCTTTCATAATATGGTGTAAAGCGTAAAGAAATTCAGTTGAAGGGCCGGGTACACACTTAGATTTTTTCGCCGAGATGGGCACCACCGAGCAGGTCGGCATATTATTTTGCTGGATCTCAGTGATAAACTTTCCGAGATTCAGCTAACAAACGGGAATTTTGCCGAGATCTCAGCTAACAAACATATTTTTTGCTGAATTTCCAGCAAAATAAAATGCCGAGCTGCTCGATGGTGCCCATCTCGGCAAAAAATCTAAGTGTGTACGTAAATGATGTAATATTTGAGTTTTAGGAACGACGTGTGAATTGTAAATCCAAATCAAATCCCTCTCAAGAGCAGTTGCTGTCGTCGTTGGTGTGGTCGCCGCTGGGATAACAACAACTTGAACGGAAACTTGATCGTAATTGTTTTGTGAAATAAGGAGCTCGGTGGCCTAGTGGCGACCATTTTTTTTACTGAGCAGAAGACCGTGAGTTCAAAGCCACGCTCCTTCGCGCTGTTTAATTTGTTAGGACATCAATTCAGCATATCGTTTCCCAAAACGAATCCTGCTGCAATCCCAACCTTTTTATCTAACATTCTAGTGATTTATCGTGGAAGTGCAGAGGTGTTCTCGGTTTTCATTAAAGCGAGTATTCCGTCAACATATTCCTACCCATTCCTTTCTTGACCAGCATTCGGACGTGGGCGGCGCTGGTATTGCCTGGTTTTAGATCACCAGTATATACATATTGCGGATGATTGCTAGTCCCAATCAACATCTATTGGTTCTCTGTGTTATTGCAGCTGATCTGGCAATAACGGAGTTGCATCCACGTGCGCTCAATCATGCTTATGCTAAATTCATCCTTATAATTTTGGGTTTGATTGCCTTAGTTTGCATGAACTACTGGTATATCTTGGAGTACAATGAGCTTTGAAAACCTCAAAATGGCACGTCGGTAGCATTGGTGCTCAGCACGGAAAACAAGATCAACGGAAAAAAACAAAGGAAAAAAAAAGCACAAATCACTAAAAACAATAAATTATCAATCATTTTGTCAAGCTCCTGTATTCATTTTCCATTAGATGTCACTGCTCTTGTTGGTGGAAACTAGTCATAATCTGTTTTCCGTTAATTGTTCACAGAGGGCAGTGCAGTGCAAAACGGGTATATGCATTTAGATTAACTTTCGCAGTCATTCCTTTTTTACACATTCTGCATACAACATAGCTCACCCCTCACAGGATTTCCCGCCGATTTCTATGAATGGGGCGGGGCAATAAGTATATTTTGTGTAGAATATGTAGAAAAGAAGGGCAGTGTCAGTGTCGATTTGCTCTGGTTTTGACTGTTCGTTTGGCTCAAAACCAGTGAGTCCGCTCCTGTCTTATACTAGACCCTATAATAAAGCTAATGGGGATTGTATGGTCCTACACCTCAGGTGATTATAAGAAAATCATAGATCATAGGAGGTATGGGGAAGACGGGCAGTTAGATTTGGAGTGAGAACGTATATGGGTGCAAAAGACAGTGTGGGCTTGAAATAAAGTAATTGTGTAATATTAATGCTCCGCAGTTATTCTAATGAATACTGAATTCTACAAAGACACATTTTTATTTTTAAGAAATTTCTGAAGTGCAGCAAATATTCCATGAATATTAGAAACTTTCTAGGATGTTCTTAGATACCTTGCATTAGGGAATAAATTAGAACAATTCAAGCATAACTTTTCAAAAGGACGTATGTAACATTGGATAGGAAATTAGAAACATTGGATAGCAATGTATATATGAGATTATTAAATGCTAATTAAAAGTTAATGCTATTTTTTTAAATCTGTTTGTGCTATTAGTCAACTAAAGGGATTGCGTTTAAGAGAATTGAGAAAAATGTCGAGTTTTGCAAACACGGACAAGACTTCTGATAAAACAAAATCATACACCTTTTACTTTTGTACTACTCACATACACCCTGATTGATTCGTCGGTATCACACCTTGATTGTTATATACACCCTGCATGATTCGTCTATTGGCGTTGACGGCACCGTCGAAAAAATTTCTCTTTCAGCAAATATAGACAGTTTCTTATGAGAATTTTCGGTGGAGTGAAAGGATAGTACAAAGTCCGCCATGTTTCACGCACAGTCTGACGTTTGCTTATGGATTTTCTCATAGGAGTAAAGAGCTACAGAGTCGCCGTCAACGCCAATTTGACAGAAGAGTTTTCACATACGTCAAATCAGATACACCGGTTTTTGTTTTGCAGTGAAGATACGTCGGCAGCTCGAAAAGCATTGAGGAATTGTCGGTTGGTTGATTAATTTACATAACTACCCAGAGTTGCGAAATAATCGATGTTAAAAGCGGAGATGAGAGGGTCACTGCATTATCTGCTGTCAGATGTTAAACGTTTTGTGTTTTTCGTATTCAGAAAGCGCTGGTCAGATTGGTATGTGAAGTTCAATATTAAAGTCAAGATTAAAGTGCAATTTCATTAGAATACTTTTGAAATAATACACATCTTGCTCCCGGAAATACAAAAACAAACATACAAACTTGACGCATTTGCAGATTGATAGTGGTTGCTTTGTTTTTTCACATACGACGCTTCACTGTGAGCGTATCTGCAGTTTTTGTGTTATCATCAAATCTTAACAGTTAAGTCATGTTTACAATAAAAGGGGGTATCAACACCATTTTAAAAACAATGAAAGAACGTCACATTGGGCGTTTATTAAATATATTTTCCATAATGTATTTCAATTTCAAACCTTGTTTTTCATTAACTCGTAGGAAAAGCATGTATTCGGTTAGATGCAAAATATAGATTTGTTTATTTTTGTGACTTACGTCTTTTTGAAAAGTTATGCTTGAATTGCGCAAAATTGCTGCAATTAATAAAATACGATTAACTTTCTCTTACTAGATCTCTGCCGCGATGGAAATCCTGGCTACTTATTCCACTTTTCCCAAGGAAATTTCCGAAATTTACCTCCCTAACTCGATGATCGCATCAATGTCTGTAGTAGTATAAATCCATTGTATGTGTTTGCCTTATGATTGGTGTCTTATATTCATATCCATTAGTACCAATAGTATCTCTTCCATTTATAATGTGCAATAAATCAATGTCACTTCATAAATGCTTCGGCAAGGCCACATTCACTAATCGCATCAAAACATATCGTAAATATTTACGTAAATACACGTGGCAACACCCACGTGCTTCATATGTTTTGTGAATGAAATAAATCATAACAACTAAATCGTTCCCTTCCCCAGTCTTAATAGCTAAACAAAGACCAGCACTTCATTCAATAACAAATCGTTGCCATTGGATGGTTTTCGTTTATAGATATCAAACTTTCCCCTTTTTTTAACATCCACAAAATGCTCAACCCTACACGCCGTGTCCGAAGTGGTGGATTATTCAACTTTCATGTAGATCCGATTTTTCTGCACCAAATGTTAGTTTGGGTGCCTAACATCCCTAAAGCGGTTGTTTTAAAAATATTCTTCCGTATGGGAAGATTTTAGCTCTTCAGATCTATAACCTACTATTTGTATAAAAAATTAAGATAAAATTGAATAATTTTGACCGAAATGATATTTTATTTGAATAATTTTCCCCGACATGATATTTTAAAATGAACCGATTTAGGAATGTAAGGCCCCAAACTAATTTTTGGCGAAGAAAACCCCGATCTACATGAAAGTTGATTAATCCGCCACTTCGGACACAGCGTGTCCTAATGCACGGTTAGTTCAGTGTCAACCAAACGATTTTAAAATTAAATCTCAATTTCAATCTTACCTCCCGGATACAATCGATGTCCAGCACCGTTTCCTTGATCTTGATGAAAAAGCATCGCTTCCCTTTGCCGGCCGTCGGGAAGTAGTGCGTCGGGATCAACGCCCCGGCATTGCTCAGTGTAACGATGAGCCGCCGGACGTTGGCCCGCTTGACCCACTCCATGACGATCACTTTCAGTTCTTCGTTTCCCATTAGCTTCTGCCATTTCTCATCCTTCAACCGCATCGTCTTTAGCACGTAGCTCCCCACGAACGCCGCACAAGGATCTTCCTTTTCTTCCTTCTTCTTCTTCTCTTCGGCCATGCTGTTTGTCGGAATCCAAATCTGCGTCGAACGATCAGCAGCACCGAACACTTGTCAAATTCAAACAGAGATGCAAATCAGATTCGCGAGAAACCAATCGAACGTCACACGTCTAGTCACGGCCAACTGCGTCGATGGAATGAACTCTACCTTGGATGGAAACTTCCGCAAAAGGGAACAGACTAATTTCCCCTACGAAAGCAGCCCCTCCCCACTCCCACCCTTTTTGCTGCCCTACCGTGCAATCGATCATACAATATATGAGACTAATACATTACCAGCCGAACACCCCCGGGAGCCAGCCGCGAACGATTTCGAATGAGTTGGAAAAATGCAAAACTTTCTCACTTCAGACCCAATCGCTACCGGGGGTGGTAGGAGTGCACCCGAAACGGAAATGCCACCCTCATTCTCCTCCACCGTCTAGATCATACGGACGGCATTTCGGCGGGGTTGGTTGGCAAGCAAATAAAGGCACAGCGCATGGAAGTAATTTATTTTTACACACATCACTGTACTCTTGTTGTTAATTCGCGTTTCATTGAAGGTTTGTTGTTAGCCGGAAGAGCGCCAATTTCACCCATCCTTTGAACGCGGCAAGTTAGGGGAAAGTGTTAGGGCTGCACTCTTCGTCCGGTAGTTAGTAGGAAAGTTTCAGGGTTTATTGGCGGGAGTTCCGCAACCTGGTGAGTTACCAACTGCGCTACCAGAAGGGTACTTCCTACCGAACAAGTCGTTCACTCCCTCCTGTTGGAGGAAACAAAACCCGAACAATCAACAAACTAAAACTATGAAAGTTACTCAAAAGTGTTGCGGTGAGTGAGTGAAGGATAATTTTTGTTCGTTGTTGTTTATTAGGTGGGAATTGTTTTTTATTTATTTCGTATGCGAAGGGAAACTTGTGGCTGAAGTTGCCCGCGGGTAGTGCGCAAATTTGTTCTGGAACTTCTGTGTGAAGTTGTGCAGTTTTCACTTATGATTTTTTGTAAATGAAATTATGCACTGGTTAAAGTGCTATACTACTAAATGCTATTACTGGTCGCAGTGGTCTTATGTCCCGAACAGAGGAAATAAAAAGAAGGAAAAATTCTGCTGGAAAAGTTCTCGCAAATTCTTTTAATCTACCGGATTTAAACTGCATTCTAGAATAATGTTTTTTTTTGCAAGTTCTTGAAGCTAAGGAGTAGGTACCTAGATTCTTTTTTGAAAGTTCAGCATACGAAATGTTTATTCCAGGAGCTCATTTTTAAGGCAGAATTCTCAAATCTTTTTTGTAAATAGTTTAAGATTTTTTTTAAATGTAACGACCACTCACTATAGTTAGACAACTGTCGGTAGACTGTGGGTTATCATCGCAGTTCGACTTGATCAAGTTTAATAACCTCTAATTGTACTTAACCTGCCATTGTATGAAGGGCGAAAAACGGTTTGGGTGAATGCGTGGCCAACATCGCCCACATGCCTCCACGGGATAAATGAGAATCTCCTTACAACAACAGGATCATACAGCCGTCCAAAAAACAGGCCATCCAACAGCAGGATGCCCCAATGAGTGGAGAGAAGAGCCCACCCTCTTATCACGAAATGTTAAAGACAGGGAGTTGACATTTCCACTCTCCCCCTCCATTTCGCTTCAATCTGCGGCTTTGGTGGGGAGAGTATCCATCATATAATGTTTTATATAATAATGGAATGAAAGTTTAGAGAAAGATAAAGTTAAGACCTCACCCATGACATCACGATGATTTAGAAGAGCTTGCACGTCTTCAACCGGTTTTAAAAACAGCACTCTCGCCTTTCGTTGCTCACACAGCAGCGTAATTAGTTTGTTTTCAAGCCCAAAAACTAAAACGAAAATGCGGGATCATCTCGAATTTTCCACTGAGACCTGTCCTACAAAGTTTTTCAAGTCCGATTCTCCTATTCATCGCACATTAATTTATTTTGTTTTACTGTTGGCAGGAGATTCTATTTTTAATGGGGTTTCGCGCAAGGTTGCAAATTCTTATTTCAGATAAAAAGTTATGGGTTGTGTGCAGAGCACGACCGCATTGTTGACGTAGAACTATGAGATTGATTAGTGATGGTCCATTAATATATTAATCACAAAATTAATGGTTAAGAAACTTAACTCCAAAATAAACAATTCATTATTCAAATTTTTGAAATTGGGCAGTTATTGAATCAATCCTAAAATTAGGATTACCATCGGCCGCTTTCTTGTTGGCTCGATACATTCGAACACGTTCTGCAACGGTCCGTGTGTGTTTCGCAGGTTTCCCTGCCTCCTGGTCTCTCACGCGCTTCCGCTAATCGCGGAGATATTTAGCAGCCATGTGTTGAAACCTTTTGAAGATTTTTACAGAATTTCTCAATAAACACTTGTTTCACTTCGAACATTGACTCTATCCAACGCGGAGTATCCTGAAGCACTTACTGTACCAATTGGAATTTACAGAGAATGCTACAATGCATAATCACGATGGTGTTTCAATATGATGTCTGTGTTTGGGAAACAATAACAAATTGAAATTTTGATTGCCTTTCTTTTTGCACACGTCGGTAAGCTGCACAGACTCCTCCCATCATGAGTAGTTTGCTATCAAGTAACGACAGTCTCCTATTGCGTAGTTTGCCAAAGGGCAATTATCGAATTATTAACGAAAGATGAAGAGAATCGATCAAAATCACTTGCACCCCTGCATCCAAGTTTGGTTACAAGATTTCAACTCTGGAGAGCATTTTGTGTGGTCGTTGGGGGCGTGTGGTTCAGAATATGGACAAACAGGCACAGATAAATTCTATTCCAACTCTTTACTGTAATAAGCTGATTGGCCCTGAAAAGGGCCGTTTTGTAGTCAAAGTTGGTACGGAGTGCATCTCTGTCGCTTCAAAGTGTAGATGATATCCATGGCCGCTTGGCGTGTTCAGTGTAGGTGACAGCATAACGGATCTTATTTTCTAGGAACATCTTCAGCACACCTCGTAGATCAGACCGGAGATACGTTTGACACCGCCACGGCGAACCAGACGACGGATGGCAGTTATCACGAAGAACCTTGCGATGACGCTTGGCGCCTTCTTTACCAAGATATTTTCCTCCTTTGCCACGACCAGTCATTGTTGCTTGTTAGGTAGAAGATTGCTTCTGCTGCCTGCTCACCACGCCGTCCGAAATGCCGCGAAAATGAGTTTAGGCTAGACAGCAGCGCTTTTTTACATTTTTTCAGGTTATAGCAGAATTATGTGCAACCAAGTGGTACTCGATTATGACGACTGGGTTTGGGAAGAACGTTTAATTCATGAAAACAGTTGTAAATTATCCTTTTTTATTTGTAAATTGGACAACGCTTGACATTTACAACTTTTTCGATAGTTTCTTGTTGAAAATCAACAGTCGGAAGCAATTGCGATGCGTAGAAATATTTCTAATCGATTGGTGATAAAATGATTGAAATTCGTCCAGGGGCAGCTGAGCTAGTAACGTTCAAAATCTTTCATAATTTTGTGTTACATGTTCCATTTTTGGATTTCACAAAGTGCACCCCCATATAGAAATAACAGACGTAGTCCTACGTCAAAACAAGTTTTTCGGAATTACGAAATCATTAGATGTTATGATCATATTTTTTTATTTGTAATATACAAGAAGAGGTTGCAAAGCATGTGTTTGGCACATAAATAAAACCATGTGTTTGACACATAAACCCTTTAAACCACATAAAGCAGAAAAAGGTTTCATTTAATCCAATCCCAATCATTCTCATCATCTGTCGTGACATAAACATGGATCCGGATGGCCATAGGACTGTCCTCCAAAAGATCCGGAACATCTGTAAATTTGTCATACTGTAAAACTGATCATAGAGCTCTGCAGTTTTTTTTTAAACACTGTGATATAAGAAACCACTGGATCACTTTTACGAATTTTCCATATCTTCCGGAGGACGGTCCTATGGCCATCCAGGTATATGTTTTTGTCACGACCACAAATTCATTCTTATATCACAGTTCCTAACGTTTTCAAGAAAACCACGGAGCTCTAGGATCAGTTTCGTGAATTTTCCACTTTCACGGATGTTCCGGATTTTCCGGAGGACGGTCTCATGGCCATCAAGGTCCATGTTTATGTCACGACCCCAAATGCATTCTATTATCTCAGTTATTAGTGTTTTTCAAAACTGCGGAGCTCTAGGATCAGTTTCATGGAAAGTCCAGAACATCCGTAAAAGAGGTCAATCAATAAAACTGATCCTAGAGCTCCGCAGTTTTTTTTTTTTTTCAAAAACATTAGGAACTGTGATATAAGCATGAATTTGTGGTCGTGACAAATACATGGACCTGGATGGCCATAGGACCGTCCTCCGGAAGATATGGAAAATTCGTAAAAGTGATCACAGTGTTTAAAAAAGAACTGCAGAGCTCTATGATCAGTTTCACAGTATGACAAATTTACGGATGTTCCGGATTTTCCGGAAAATAGTCCTGTGGCCATCCGGATCCATGTTTATTTCACGACCCCTAATTCATTCTATCATCTCAGTTATTAGTGTTTTTCAAAACTGCGGAGCTCTAGGATCAGTTTCATGGATTGACCACTTTTACGGATGTTCCGGATCTTCCGGAGGACGGTCCCATAGACATCCAGGTTCATGTTTATGTCACAACCCCAAATTCTTTCTATTATCACAGTTCCTAATGTTTAAAAAAAAAACGCGGAGCTCTAGGATCAGGATCGTGGATTTATCACTTTTACGGATGTTCCGGATTTTCCGCTGGACATCTCGGTCCATGAACCAAAATCATTCTTATATCACTGATCCTAATGTTTATAAAAACGTGGAGCTCTAGGATCAGGTTCATGGATTGACCACTTTTACGGATGTTCCGGATTTTTCGAGGACCGTTCCGTTGTCTCCAGGATCCATATATAGGAACCATGACTGTATTCTGGCTAATTGTGAACATTTGTGTCCATTAATCTAAATTACAGATCTTGCGCCACTAGCTAAACCCT